AGAGAGAGAGAGAGAGAGAGAGAGAAAGAAAACACATGGCCAGCAAGCCACTCCCACAAAGGAGACCACACCCACAGAGTAGGTTCCAAAATTTTTTGAAACCCACCACTGGTGAAAGCTTATTGGCAACTACTGTGACTTGCAGAGCAGTGTTATCAAGTGGCATGATGAGACACCTGCAGCACTGCCTGCACTGCTATTCATGCAGCCTGTACTACTACTCCTATAAGCCAGCAGTTGTTTTTGAGTGATCTTCAAGGACAGAGCCACATACAGCATATTGTTACAGTCCAACAATGAGGTGACTAAGGCAAGACCAATTGCCTGGAAGGCTACCTAATTCAGGAATGGCTACAACTAGAACTCCAAATGAAGATATACAAATGCCCTCTTGGCCACAGCTGCCACTACTCAAGTCTGAAGGATCTCCAGATTGGATAGTACAACCTCATCTACACCATCAGGTGCAAGGGGCCTAAAAACCCATAGCGACTCAGGCGTGGCAAGATTGAATCTAAGTCTGTTCTTTCCCATCCAGGCCCACACAGCTCTAGGCACTAGTCCAGGGTACTGATGGCATCAGTTAGCCAGCTTGGGGTCTAGAGGTACAACTGGGTATGATTTGCATATTGATAAGACTGAATTATGAACCAGTGAACAGCCCAGCAGTCTCATGTAGATGTTAAACAAAAAGGGGCAGAAGTTGGGTCCTTAGCCCCTCACTGATTAGAGCTGTTTATTGAGAAAGGACAACACAATGCACCCAAACTCACCTCACCCCCAGCAATCAACTCCCAAACCTGACAACAGCCTAGAAGCATCCTATAGGGTTAATTTTCTGCAATAGAGAGTCTGCACATCAACTCCCTAGGAGATATACAATATATTGGTATAATATGACATTCATACGTTCCATTCCAACTTGTATATTTAAAATGGACCAATTTGGTGCAGAAAGAAGAGGTTTATTTTAAGTGTATACCTTAACAATATACAATACGTAAAATGCTTATGGTCACCAGGGCACCAATAGTACACAAATGCCATACTCAGCAGTAGGCTTCTTTACACAGTTAGATTTATAAGCGAAGGCACAGAGCTGGGTTGTTGATCATTTTCTTATGCTTGGTAGATTAAACATTTACAGACTAGGTTCGCCATTACTCACATCTGACATATACAAAGAGACTTCAAGGGCTTATTCGGATAATCCTACACAGTGAAAGACAATTGCATTTCCTCCCTGAAGAGATAGAGTTGCTTTTACTCAACAGCAGAGTGTTCCAGAAATATGATATCCTAAATTAGTTGGAATCTAACGTAGCATGTTTGACAAATGTATACTTCTAATTTTAATTTAGTACCTACCTCCATAGACATATACATATATGGATACATACACACACACACAATGCTTATATATAAATCAAATGTGTTTATGTTCCACTACATATACAAACTGAATGCTTACTGGGATGCTCATCTGGAAAATGCAAGTTTGAAGCTGTTTGATGTGATCAATATAGTATGTATTCATTACAGTGCTATTTGTTTTACGAAAAACATGTTTTAGAATTTCACTGTGCACAAGACAAGATTTTTTTTGTGTTTAGGGAGATATTTTGGCCAAGTATCTTGGCACATGCCAATACAAGATCAGAATGCAAAACAGACACCAGATTTAAATTTATAAGTTAGGGTGATACATTTGTTGCACTCTGAAACACTTACATAGGCTTCAATCATTTAAAGATGTCTAAGAAAAAGAACAGCCATCACTGAAAAATGTGGAAAGCAGAAGGATGGCAACTCTGACTTGTATTTTGCTTGTTGAAAAATTTAGGGAGAGCCCCCTCTTGTTTGTATGATGCAGCAGAAGAATGATTCCAACTCCAGGGCTAACAGAAATAAAGCTTTCAAAAGCTAAAGTAAGAGATAGAAATAAAGGGAATGACCGTTGGCTTATCTGAATGGTCGTTCTCTAGGCGCTGCGGGAGTGTCCAAGCATGGGTTAACTTCAGCTTGCTGCCCAAGGACTGAGTTCAAAGTTTGTGTAGCCACACCTCCTGGTCCCCTCAGAAGCTCAATTTAAAAATAAAACG